TCTACTCTGACAAAACAATCTGTAATTTACGAAGGAATAAAGATATTTAATAGTTTACCGGATGACATTAAAAGTATAAATGTATATAAAAGGTTTCGAACAAAGCTTAAAGAATTTTTAATTGGTGGAACTTTTTATAGTTTGGGAGAGTTTTATAATAGGTGAAGCCAAAGCGCGGTTTGTTGATGGTCTTTTTGATGGTCTTGTATAGCCTGGACTTGTGTAATCTGGATAGTTTGGACAATTTAGATTGTTTATCTGTATTTAATTGTTTATTTGTTAATTGTTCAATTTTTTGAAGTGTACATTTGTCGGATAATCTTGTGAATGTGAACTAGCTGCCTTAATTCGTTTAGAAGTTATGACATGAGTGAACACTGTAGTCTTACATTTTCCATTGGAAAACTTTCAAACCTCGTATCTCAGACAATAGCAACAAATTTTAATCAATATTTTGATGCGAATTTGTAGATTTTGAGCCGATCTACAAGTGTAAATTAATAAAAACTGGCTGGCTTAATTAGATTAGAAGTCATGACTGAGTGAAGACTGTAGTCTTACATTTTCCATTGGAAAACTTTCAAACCTTGTATCTATAGCAACAAATTTTGATCAATATTTTGATACGAATTTGTAGATTTTGAGCTGATCTGCAAGCGTAAGTTAATAAAAACTAGCTGGCTTAGTTCGTTTAGAAGTTATGACCGAGTGAAGACTGTAATCTTACATTTGCCATTGGAAAACTTTCAAACTTCGTATCTCAGACAATAGCAACAAATTCTGATCAATATTTTGATGCGAATATATAGATTTTGAGCTGATCTACAAGTGTAAATTGATAAAAACTAGCTGGCTCAATTAGTTTAGAAGGAATGACTGAGTGAAGACTGTAGTCTTAAATTTTCCATTGGAAAACTGTCAAATCTCGTATCTCGGACAATAGCAACAAATTTTGATCAATTCAAATTGATGAAAAATTTTCTTGCCTCGACTAGGATTTGAACTCAGGACCCTCGCATATCGAGTGCAACGCTCTACCAATTGAGCTACCGAGACGTGTGTTTCATTTCTACCCTGTCGATCAAATCTTTCATTAAATTGTAAGTTGTTAGTTGTGGAGACCAACGGCAACCTTCGGCGGTTAGCGTTGGTATGGGAGTGAGTTAGAAGGTGTAAGGGAAACACATTCACCAATTATTGGTTGTTCGGAATCCATTATCCCTTCAACCACGGATGCGTCGGTCGTCGACATATAGCGAAATCAGCAGACATCGGGATGGGACGCCCAACCATCAATGTCAAGCCAATAGTTTTACAATTTTTAGAAGTTTTATCGTCTGTTATATAATTTACATCTGTCCATTCTGTTCTGTTCATAGCTGGGTTTTCCAAACCAGGATTGTTTTGAAAAATTCTATATACAAATTTATCTGAAAAGTCCATATTTTGCGTTAGGGATCCTTCGAGGACTGGTCTCATAGTAGCTGCATCAAAAGTTTAGAAGATTCCAGTAAAAACGAGAAAAAAAAGGCGTGTTTTTATCAAGCCACTTATAATGACGCCCACTTAATTATCACATTATTTCAACTATAGTTTCACATCTGAAAGAAATTTTGCTCACTGTAACTTCTCCGATACACTGTACGTTTGTCATTGGTTTGACCATTATCCAATAAATAAATTAATGATTTAATTATTGTATTTACCTATACATTTTGGGTTCAGCGAGACTTGGACAAAACACTGGTGCGAGTGTGAAATGACAAACAAGTCCAATGATCTTATTACATTAAAAAAGCGAATTTGCAATAGCCAAGGCCAAAAAGAGAGATATTATTCAACTATCAAATTAAATTTGCTTTGATATTGCTAAAAATATTAGGTAAGTAGCTTCAGGCATTCTATATTCGAGTTTAGTTCAACTTTCGCACTTTGAAAGTTTGTAGTCTAATTAGGTATTCTCTTGATTCAAAATCATAGAAGTAAAAGTGATTATTTCTTGACAGTATCAAATAAATTATGCTTCTATTTTTTTATGTATGTAGATATCGTAAAAATAACTGCTAAACATCACAATTAATTATGTGGAAACCGACTATTAGATTGACTCATGACATTAATTTTTATCAATAATTATTTATTGCAGTTTGGTTTGCAGTAAGTTTTAATAAAAGAGGTTATCACTCATTTATTTTTTTTAGAATCGATTTTTCAATCGATAATACTTAATAACAACACATGTATTCCTATTTATTTCCATGGGACTAAAATCACATTAATTAGGATTTTTCGACGGCATTTGAAGGATATTGTGATGGAAATAAGGTTGGACAAATTTGTAGGCTTGTTGAACGAAACGCTACTAGAAACATCTGAACAGACAGAGTACCTACCTAAGTATAGGTCGTATACGTATACAGGGTGTAAAAAAAATTGTGTACCGGACTTCGAGGGGTGATACTACATATGAAAATAACAAAAAAGTTCCTATGAACCTAATGCCCTATTAGACCCTGAGATAGGGACTGTTTGATGGAAAAAATTGTGGACAATACAAGAAGTACATCAAGTTTCATAAACGCTTTCCTACTTGAGCAACTTAAGATTCCACAAATTCCTACTCAGCAACGAGAGAATATGGCGTCAATATCATTGGTCTCTCAAGTTGAAGGAAGTTGTATGTACTGTCACACTGTGTTACTAGAAACAAATACCCGTACATACGAAAACTTGATATTACTGGCTATGAAAAATCTTAACTCAGATATTATATTGGGACACGATTTTCTAAATCATCATTCTAAACTTGAGATGTCATTCAATGGAAATCTGGATACTTTGAAAGTATGCGTTTTGATGCAAGCAGATATTACTTCTGCATATCTTTTCACGAATCTCAATAACACTTGCAGCTATTAAATCTAAGAAACAATCACTAGAAAACCTAAAATTTATCGAACAAGAAGTCCGGATAATGCTTTCTGAAGGTATCATTGAAAAGAGTAGTTCGCCTTAGAGAGCTCAAGCTTTAGTCACTTCCAGTACAAATCATAAGAGACGAACGGTAATCAACTATGCCTAGATTATAAACAAATTCACTGAACTAGACGCATATCCACTTCCAAACATAGAAGACATTATTTCAAAAGTGTCAAGGTACCAAGTTTTCAGCACTATAGATCTAAAGAGTGCACATCACCAAATTCCAATTCTCGAACATGAAAAACCTTCTACAGCATTTGAGGCGTGCGGCGAACTATATCAATTCACGAGAATTCCTTTTGGTGTTACCAATGGAGTTGCTACTTTTCAAAGAGTTGTTGACAGTATATAATCAAGAAAGAAAATCTTCAAGGCACATATGCCTATCTTGATGATATCACACTAGCTGGTTAGACGCAAGAAGAGCATGACAAAAATCATCAAAAATTCTTCAAAGTTGCTGAAAAGTATAAACTTACTATAAACTCTACTAAATCATAGTACGGACTTAGAAAAATAAATCTCGGATATGAAATTGAAAATCAACAAATCAAACCTGATCTCTATATACCGTTTGAAGGGCTGTAACTTCTTCAGGGAGCATCTTATGTTCATAGGAACTTTTTTTCCGGTACACTATTTTTTTACACCGTGATGTATAGAGAGGCTGTCCTCGAGAATGAAAACTAACATTCATAGATTAACCTAGTGGATTACGGAAAAATTGAGATTGACATTTTTTATCCAAATTCTTACAAGGGATAATTTACATAAAAATCAAAATATCAAAAATCAGGAATCGGTCGAGTCAGTCAGGAGTTTTAGCTGATCAGTTCTAGTGAATTATTTTTGTGGACAGCTAAGCTTAATTTAAGTGATACTGAAGGTTATTATATTGCCGATACTGAAGGTTATTATAGTGCCGGTTTTCTACGAATTTTTGTGTTATTATCGTAAATAAAGCATATTTAATTTCGGAAAAATAGTATCACTTATCTGCGAACCAGAAAACGTGTAACAATAATTGAAGCAGGAAAAGATAATTCGTGTGGCGCAATAAGAGAAGAGGCCGATCTATATACATATATAGAACGAACATTTTTGTTTATTTTCAAATGTAAATAATGTGTGTGCATTGAAGCATATTTTCGTCAAAATTACTGCAATATAAATTTCAGACATGGATCGGAATTTCAAAAGTTTCGAAATTTCGATTACAGAAGAAAGCTTTCGTAGAGGATAAGTGCAGAGTTTCGGAAAAAAAAAGAAGATGGGTAGTTGAGCGGAATTTCTATGAAGTTTCTCTAGACCAAAGTTTACAGTCTGGGCCATCTTTTTGGTAGTGACACAGAATTTTTCCAAGTTAATATTTGTCTGTTTGTGTTGATTTCCCGGTAAAATGATGAGCTCTTTTTTTTTCATCAAGGAGTTTTAAATTTGATTTTGCTGGGATGCTGAAAACTTGAAGTTCACTACTGCATTGATAGATAGCTTACTTATTATAAGTTGTTCAGACATTCCATTATAATTTCTTTACATAGAGAAGATATAGCTCATTTGTCTGAGACTTGGAAATTTTCTTTGGGAACATTGACGTTCCTGATATTTTGCTAGCAAAGGGTTTCACGTGAAAATGTATAGGTAACACATGATAGATTCCAAAACATATAAGTATTGGTATCTGTATCAATTTATATGAAATTTAATTTTTCACTTGTTTTGAGGATTCATTTTCCTTTTCAGAAAAAATAGTTGGTATTTTGGATAATATTTACCAAAATTTTAATACAAATCCCAGAAAAAATATGTATAATAACTATTTGTTAAAATTATTTATGCGTCCTTTTTTTCAAGATTTTTTTTTTTGCAGGAATGAATATCAATAAACGTTAATAATTTTATTACTATTCAGATAAATACCCTGCAGAAATAGTCTTCAACTAATAATTTTAACCTTTTTTTTCCAATGTCTAGCAGTCTAGCAACAAATTAAAAAATTACTTGAATTTTCGACTCACCTTTTCCATCTTTCACAGTTAACCAAACATTTTCAAACTCAATATCCAGAACTTTTTGTCCCGCATACACATTCCCGATAAATTCCTCATTCATTATTGCAGCAATATTTAACTTGAAAATAAATTAAAATTAATGAAGCATTACTTAATTTTTAAATCAGCACAAAAACGCCACTAAAAAATATTGAGTCCAGGGCAAGTGTAAGGTATATAGATAGAGGTTCGGGTTGTAGCCGCGAGTGAGCGTTTTCTAGCTCTCGTACTCGTTTTAAAATTGACGCAGCGCGTTTCGATGTTTCAATGTGAGCAGCTTTTAGAAGCAGTAGAAGGCAGCAAATAGCAAATACCCATCTTTGGGGCTTTGTGGCGGTCATGGTTGCATTATTATTTGTTTGCATAATTATCTAACGATTACCGCAAAATGCGATTATAAATGCAGATAAAGTATTTTTTGATTGCAATGTTTCAGTGCTTTCTTGGCGGTAATTTAGATTTCTGGGTGTAACAATAATTATTTACAATTTTTCGTGAATAATAGGGTAGCGAATGGTTAGTTTTCAGTCCTTCTGACATGGTAAATTAAACTAGGCATACCCTTGAATTTCGACTCTTCGTTGAATTTTCATTAAACCTGGGTCTGAATATTTGGAAACTTAAAAGTATGAAAGTTATACCTAATTAGGTAACAAAAACAATGTGAAAAAGTGTTTGGATTTTAGGGTCGGTTTCTCAATAGCGAGTCAGCTGCGGGTTGGCTTTAACTCCAGGGTAAACATGCCCAGATGCGAAGTTTACCCTGATAAAGTCATTTTGCTATTGAGAAACCGGCCCTTAAAGATGTGCTCCTCTAATGGCGATTGCGGTTTAATATGATTTGAACATTCAATAGATAATTATATTCAATAATTTTCGAATATTTTAGCGAAATACGTAGTTTTTAAAGAAAAAAAAAACTACTTACTTAGCAGTTAACCTTTTGCCGCTATCATTTACATAGGATAATTTATTCCACAGCAAATAAACGGCTAAATAAGCAGATGCACTTTTTTCATTGAAATCAAGTTTTGTGCATAAGCAGATACCCAAATATATAGAATCAATTTTACCATTCTTTCTGCGAGCAGAAACCAGCTGACGAGGGTGGTGCATGCTCAGTCATCGTCTTGTCCTTAATTTCATGTTATTCTGTGTTATTGGAAAGTAGATGGTTCCATTCTCAAATATTGATGAAAACGATCATCAGCGATCATACGTGGTGATAATCTCCCATTTCTAACCGTTTTTGATTAATTGGGTGAGTATGGTATTCTCTTGGGGGTAAATCCCGCAGAACATGCCATTTTATAGCGGAGGAACATAGATAATCGCCATCTCTGTCCGACTGTCCGACATCGCGATCAGAAAATGCGAGATGAAATTGTTTAAAGGCTATAAATCCAGGTAAGTATCACATTGGTTTTAAGACTCCATCATCAAGTGCGATTTTTCTTCTCGTTGTGCCATTTAAGGTCAACTACTGTAGAGACTGTCTCTCCTCATTTACGCTGACAAACTCTATGCCGCTACTTTAGCCTTTTGCATATGAAATACATCTTCATTCCTCTGAGGTTTTGGTCAGTTCTCCGCGGTTATAATGGTGTAGTTCTTCAACTATTGTTGCAATTCAAATGAAGTCTTACAAATACTGAATAGGTAATATTTTGATTGATTGATTAGTATCATCGGTCAACCTGAGATGGTTCGTTTTTTTGTTCATGTATACCATTTTGGATTTGATGCATCGATCTCAATACCTAATGTTTTGGCGATAACACGCTCTCTTGTTGAACGCCTCTTTCTATCAATACAAAGGGTTTTTTTTCTGCATGACAATACTTATGACAAGTCTACCAAAATATAATTCCTAACAAAAATAGTAGTGAAGATCGAGCGGAAAATGAGTGACGAGTATATAACCCTCCGTTTGAATTAGGCAATTAAGGCATTCCAACGACCTGTCAAAAAATGCGTTGTGGCAAAAGTTCATTATCCCGTATATGAGAGTATGTAATTTAAAGCTTTTTAAAGTGCATTTTGTGGTTGTTTTTTGAATGAACTCTGTTTATTTTTTTATTTTATTGACTTCAGTAGTGTTTCTTCCAATTAAAAATGCCACAAACGGGTCTTGAAGTTGATTGTGGAAGTAGTTTCAACAAGGTAATAAGGATGATGTCAGGCTTTTTTCATTGCCCTTTGTTTTAAAATTTTCCAATTAAAACGTGAAAATTTTTCACTACCACTGTTCCTGCATCTGAAATAAAGCCATTTTCGAAATATTCGTAAGAATCTAAGCTTTTGTAGGCCTTAATTTGCTCATTAATGTGAACTGTGATCAAAATGTCATCTGGACATTTTTTTAAACTAACCGTTCGCCCAGATCCCGATTTCCCTGCATTCAAGTCTTTAAATATTCACTCTGCATCTCAAAATAGTTATTTATGATATAAGTGTTAAAAGTACATTTTCAAGGCACGCATGTGAAAGTTTGCAGAATGAGCGAACCGAATTCTGCAATTCACATAAGTGCCTTAAAAATACTTTTGACATAAATATCATACAATATTTTTTCTACAAACCGCAATAAAAAGCGATAACCAGTAACAAATTGGATTTTTAAATGAATAATAAATAAGAAGCACCTTTCCTACATGAAATTATTGAATTTGACATGTTTTAAAAAATTCAAACTACCAGCACCTCGTTTTACAGGTAATGAAATGTCTTGTCAGTTTCTTGCAGAGATAAAGACCAATGACCTATTAACACAGATAGACAGAACAATAAACAATAATATCGGTTGACTACATACCAGGAACCGCATCTCTCCCCACTACTTAATAATCCTTGTTTTATTTTGTATCTTTCTCTAACACGTGGAAAGCGATTATTTTTCAATGAAAATTAGCAACGCTGCAAAAAAATAAATCCCACCTCGAATTCCACCTTTCCACCAATCAGCGGCTTCTATCCAATTGTCATGTCAAAATGCGACGAGCAGGTATTTTTGACAACTTCCATTTGTCAATCAGTGCGCAGTGAGTGTATCCGCATCTTTTTCTAAAATTATGTAAAATATAAGGATAAAGATACACTTTTGTAGCACTAATTCTGGTTTCATTTCCAGAGTTGCCAAGTATGCGATAGTAAAATGGGGGCGGAGTTAGCGGAATCATTTGAATCCCTACTCCTAGCCGCTTTCACAGCTCACCCCCCCTGGCCCATAAACATGTAGTCAACCAAAACAAAGCTATTTTATCAATGGGATGTTCTGTCTATCTGTGTTAATAGGTCATTGATAAAGACTATATAAACTGTCGAGAATGGAATCTCAATGTAAATTTTGTTGTCAACAAAATTGAGCCAAGCCAGCGCCATCTACCATATTGGAAACTCACTATTTACTGGTTTTGCATCGACGCTACAGACACCTACTTTACATAGGGCTTCAAGGCATTTTTATGATAGATGGCGCCCTGTTCGCATTACACTCGGTCTGTTCAAATTTGTTTATTCTAGACTTTGGGACATTGATGTTTGCTTGAATTAATTGATGTTTTCTTCATTAGATCAAAAAACATTTTTAATGCTACGGGGGGGTGTTAAAAATTGCATTTTTAACACGGTTGTAGAAAAAGTATATTATAACAAAGTAAACTGTAATTAGCTTGAAAATATTCCAAATAAACTCAAGCTAAACAAACAAACTTCAAATTTTCCACGGTCGCCATATTGAAAAATCACGTGGTTTGGAGAGCCTCAATCCATCTGTCAAAAAGGAAAATTCAATATGGCGTGGCGGCCAAGCAAGTTTGTTTTGAATATGTTTTTATGCGTACCTGTTTTAAATTATTTTACTTAGAGTTTTGCTTGCAATTTTGATTTTGATTATTTAATCAGATATTTGTTGAAGAGGTACGTAAACTATTAAGTCGGACAGAAACTAGATATTTTATTGTGTTTTTTGAACCATGTGTGGCCGCCACACCATCTTGAATTTCACGTGGTTTGAGTTGCCTAATACGTTGAGGTTAAATTGTTTACCCAAGTAGCATTTTCGCGACTACCCGACTTATTCCTCACTAATCCCAACGTCGGCTATTGGTTGGATGGCGACTAAATCATTATTCACATTTCTGCAACGTCCGAATGCCGTTTGTCAGACGTTGTAATCACAACGTCTAATAAACTGTACCTTATTGCGGTAGTGCCTACGTCTGTTACCCGACGAATTTACCACCGTTGTTTTAAAGTAGCATCGCGACGTCTGGCTGACGTTGTACTGTGAAGTCTTCCCAACCCAAGGTCGCGACGTCATATTATCCAACGATCGATTTTATCAGGATTAATACGTCGCACATTAGTTGGGAGTCGACTGGTTCTCGTGTTTTCAATTTAAAAAAAAAAAATTTTTTTGGATCATCCAATGCCAGGTAGAGCAAAAACAAATGAAATCCTATAAAGACATGACCTCATCTTAAATATTCAATGGATAGATGTCGATACATAAATTACGGAAGCCTGAAGTTTTTCACAGTTATTTGTAATTCTGTCGTCGGTTTTAGGTCAGATTGGTATGAAAAATTTTACTTCTTTCCTTCAATATGAAAATAGAGTCTTGTTAGGTTAGGTTATTTTCTAAGACAAAAAAAGCATTTTTTCTTCGAACATTAAATTATATTTTGATTCTTGCTCGATATAAAACTGATTAATGTAATGATACGAATTCTACACGCCCAGTGGATTTCAAACCGGAATCCACGGCCTATGGACCAATCAAATTATCCGTATTTTCGGAATACACGGTCCGCAACGAGATAATACAAACAAAACATGACTGACGTTTACTCTCAGATCACGAAACTTTCGTTTTTTTTTTTAAAAAAATAAGACTTTTGAGGATTGTCATTTCGTATTAAAACTTATGATTTTCTTTCAAAAAATTCGAAGAGAAAGTATAGTCTTCTACTCGCAAATAATGGCTATTATTCATAATATGCTTGTTGAAGAATATACTATTAATCTGTTTTCTGTGGGTATATTTTTAATGGGAATATGATGTTTTTCACCCAAGGGTAGTCTACGAAATGTTTTAGCTGACCTGGCGAACTTCGTACCGCCTCTGAATTTTTAAATATCTCTGAGTTAAATACCTATTAAATGTTGTGTTAACGTATCTAGTAGCTAAATTAAATTCAGGTCAAACCAGAGTCGCTTGCCAGTGAGTTCAGTGACGCATTTTAAAAAGCACTCCAGAGCTGCTCTAGAGGGCCCCGGGCTGTTTATAGGCGTTCAAGTGTATCAGGTTTCGCGCAACTGAACTTTTTTTTCGGGATAAAAAATAGCCTATATCACTCCCTTCTATAGCCGAATTTGATTGACCGGATTAGATCGATCTGGTTCAATTTAAGTAAGCCACACTGTGTTCGATTGAGGTTGGATCAGTGCACCTTCATCAACAAAAAAATGATCTAGATCAGAAGAATTGAACCCAAATTGATCTAATCTAGGTCAATCGGATTCGGCTTATATAGAGATACGTGGTATTAAATTTAAGATCGGTCCAGCCGTTCTCGAATTCAAAAAATAATAAAGTTACGTCGGTTGAATGGCAAGCCTAAATAAATGAAATGTGGCAACATTGTTTCATGCTGTCAAAAAAAAGGTAACCTATCCACAAACCTTCCTTGGGATGGCCATAACAACCTGCCAAAGTTTCATCGTAATCGGATAAGTGGTGTAGGAGCGCATAAGGCACAAACCCAACAAGCAAGCAAACAAACATTGATTTTTATATATATATAGATTCCGAAACTTTTTTGAACTTTTTGATAGTGTATTTTTGAGAAAATAAAAAATATTTGGCAAAAACACATAATTTAAGGGGCGCTTGAAGAAATTTGGAGGTAACGTCAACACATTCGTCAATAAAACTTGCGGGGCTTGAAGTTTTTTCCCAAGAAAATCCGTAAATAAATACAGTAAATATTTTCTATAAGCCTACACCAAATTCACATCATTTTACACTATTGATGTTTGTTTGCACGAAGTCCGCAGTCTGCTGCGTCGTACGTCAGTAACGTTAGTAAATTAGTGAAGTTTTTTTTACCAAAATCACACAAACCAGGGACTAATCGGCGACTTGTGATCAATTGTAGAATCGTACCATTGCAATGACGCAGGGAGTTCCAGGAACCTGTACTGCCAACCGGCAGTACGCCACCAAAAAGAAACCCTATATTTAGAGGTTCTCGGGGTAGCCAACTTCACCACATACGGATGGGATGCCAGTAAGGTTCTTGTGGTTCTTGAATGTAATAACGATAGAAGAAAGTTCGATTGTCGGTCATTTTTATTGCTCTTATTTGTACTGCATAGAGCCAACGAATCCTTGGGAGCAGCCTTATAAAGGAGAGAAGTTGTTGAGAGAAGAGATTCCGAGGAATTAATAGTAAGGTTTCGTCCCACGACATCCTTAAAACTGGGTTATCATCGGCAGAAGATCAAAAGCCTTGGAGATGTCCAATATGCTACAATTCTGGATTCGCCATATTTTCCGAGAGTCGAGTTCCAAATATGAGTGACGCCAGCAGATCCGCTGATCTTTTAGAACGACACCCGTAATGTTTGTCAGAGATGAGCTTATATTTGCTTCGAGCTATTTAACCAGTTCCAGTTCGACTGCCTTTTCCATTACTTTCGAAATTACGGATATAAGTGAGATGGGACGATAATTTCTAGGAAGTGGTTTCTTGTCCTTTTTCTGGATGGGCTGCACTCTGGCACATATCCAGATAGACAAGAAAACGCTTCGACTGTAAGACAGTAAAAACAGTTTGGAATGAACTGAAGCCAAGTCTTGTGTGCAAGTTTTGAGGACAATTGGTGGAATGACATCGGGACCACAAGATTTCCCAGTGCCAGGTGTAGAAGACTTTTTCTAATAGTTTTAGGTCTAAATACGACGTTATTCAGGTAAGAACCACTGTGTGACAGTACCTACCTGGTGGTCTGCCATTGTCCTCCATCGAGGAATTGGATGCAAATTGTTTAGCAAAGTCATCTGCTTTTTCCTTTGACGATACTACAATGTCCTTAGCTAAAGGCGGAACGAAAGAAGATGCAAAATGTTTTCCGCTATAGTCTTTACAAAGGACCAAAAGGATCTTGATCCGCTCGGTCGTTCCAAAAGTCGATTAGGCACTTGTTGATTGTATTACTCTTCAGCACCGTTGGTTATACGGTTACAATCATTTCTGACAGCCGGTGAAGAACGATCGAGTTTGTTCGCATTGGTTTCTACGCCAAGCACGATATATGTGGTGTTCTTTTTGCAACCGCTCCGACACACTGCTTGTTGAACCAGAGTTCAATTATTAAACTTGATGTAGACTCCTCCGCCTCTACTCTCGTCGTACACTCTCCTTCCGGAGATCCGAATGGGAGGGTATTTTAACTGCGGAATTGTCTGCACAAAGGGTTTCCATTATCATTTGTAAACCAAGTCAGCAAGGATAAAAAATGAAAAAGAAGAATAAAAATAAAGGAGAGGAAGAGACAGAGTTGAAAATCGAAAGTCACGCTCCAGGTCCAGACAATTCGAATCGAATTCAAAGGACCACCCATCGCTCTTCTCCCACTCCAAGTGATGAAAGAAGATGGGTTGACTTGATAGGAAAGGTAGGAGAAGAAGATTACAGATTACAGGTCTCAAATTAGGTCTTACATCAAATACACCCTGCATTTTATTCTCATCAAATTTTACCAATCGATCCACCATTCTTTGTCGGTCATTATCATTTTCCATTCACTAAACAAGGGTGCTAACTCATCGGTGAAGTCACCGATTAAAAACGACGGGACACATAAGTACGTTGCAAGAGTGCGTAGAGTGCTTTATTAGTAAGTTCGGTTAATACTCCTCGAGCAAAAAGATGACAACCCTATGTGACCATTGTAACTTCAAATGAAGGCACACGTGGGCTTCTATCAACAAAGTCATTCTATAGCTCGCGGAGTATTAACTGTATGAAAAGGTTTATTCAGTCACTACAGTATAGTGAAATGTAGTACAGTGACTCTATTACCACAGTGGTGGCAATTGCCGTTTTCTTTTTAATTGGTTCTTAAAAATCCCATATATTCATATGGAAAACGCCGCCATTTTGTGCTCAACCTCTTGCTACTTTTAAATATAAATATATAGGATTTAAATGGACATCCATCATACAAAATTGAAAACAACATATCCGATGACTATAATTAGGCACATCAAATACGTTGTTTTTAATTTTTTATGATGGATGTCCATTTAAATCCTATGAATTCATATTTAAAAGTAGCAAGAGCTTGGGCACACAATGGCGGCGGGACCTCTATTGTCGCCACACTGTATGTAGAGGTTTATTTATTGCCACTGTGAACTGTAGTACAGTGGCTGAATAAAAACCTTTACATACAGTGGCGACAATAGAGGTCCCGCCGCCATCTTGTTCCCAACCTCTTGTTACTTTTAAATATTGATATATTAGATTTAAATGGACGTCTATCATAAAAAATTGAAATCGACATATTTGACGACCATTATTAGGTCTATCAAATACGTTGTTTTTTCTGTTTTATGATGGATGTTCACCTAAATCCCATATATTCATATTTAAAAGGAATAAGAGGTTGGGAACAAGATGGCAGCGTTTTCAATATAAATATATGGGATTTTAGAATCAATCAAAAAAAAGACAGCAATTGACCTTTTCAATTTGAAAGCCTCTCTCTCTGGCATCAAACTGTCAGACGCCAAAAGAGTATGAAAACAATGGTTGACAGCCGTTGACAGTGGTTTGTAGACAAGACTTTTGAAAGAAACTATTATTTCTTCGGGTTTTTCAAAGTTCTTTCCTAACAATGGTGATTCTGTGTAGTGTGCCTATCCATAAAAATGATTCCTATTTATTCCTATTCAGTGGCGGACGTGTTTTTCCATTAAGTTTCCATCAAATCCTACATTTATCAAAACTTGGATACACAAAATCAGAATGCAGAAAGGATACTCGCAAAAGAAAGGGAAATCCACGGCTGTTTGCTTCCAAGATAATCCACCACCGTCTCCATAGCGAAGTTCTACGAATGAAGCAGTGACTTTTCCCACATTTTATTCCCAATTTCAAACCCTGCGTTTTTATTATCAAATTTTACCGATGGATCCATCATTCTATGTAGGTCATTGTCATTTTCCATTCACTTAACAAAGATAGCTAACTCATTGGTGAAGTCACCGATTCGAATAAAAATGAGGGGATTGCTAAACACCCAATACACATTGACATTGACAAGCAAGCAAATTTTGGCGGGAAAATGAATGTTTTCATACTTATGGTCCATCTCTTTTAATTGAAAACGTCAATTGTCGCCACTGTGGGTAATAGAGTCACTGTAAACTGTAGTTAGGAGTGGTGCCATCTCTTGACAACCTTTTGTGCTGTGCTCAGGTGTCAAATGAATACAGCATTCTTCACTTTATCCTTTATCGACGTGATGTCCCGCTCTTTTTCATGCAGTTTATATTCTGTTTCTCTTCTCATCATAACCTCAAAAAAATACCCTCCTTTTTCTTTATTTTGAAGTGGTTTTGAATTATGTAAAAAAGTGAACCGACGACCAGTAGAAAGTGAGAAGTGGAAAGCAATGAGAGCATTATTTTACTATAAAATCGACACAAAAAGTTACATAATGGCCGCTTACAGCACGACTGGGATTCAGAAGACATCCCAATTAGAAAGTAATCATCAGAAAACAGTTCAAAAAGAAACCAAACGGGAAGCGGATGGTATGAGAGTATCCAATCCCACCAAATGCGTCGAAATCCTATTTGATTGCTTTGAAGAGGTAAACTGCAGCACGAATCCTTCAACAGGCCAGAACGCGGAAATTCAACCAAGCACAGTCAATTACAACAAGGTCTTCCAAAGCGTTGAAGTTGCGAAGCCAGAGGAGAATAGTTCCCGTGATCTACGTCGTAATATAAAAGTGCACATCCTCAAAACTCTCGAGTCGTGTACACATGAAGTCGCTTGCCCACCAAATGAACAATATTTTCCTTTGCAACCTCGATACGGCCCACCTCTTAAAGAATACCCTTTCGCATTAGATCCGTTTCAAAATGAATCTATTGTATGCGTCGATAACAATCAGTCAGTTTTGGTGTCGGCTCATACTTCTGCTGGAAAAACTGTAATTGCAGAATATGCTGTGGCCAAAGCCTTCAAAAATGAGCAAAAAATTATTTACACTACTCCAATCAAAGCCCTGTCTAACCAAAAGTATCGCGAATTTTCTGAACAGTTTGAAGATGTAGGATTAGTTACTGGGGATGTCACATTAAATCCTGAAGCTTCATGTCTTATCATGACAACAGAGATTCTCCGAAGTATGCTCTACAGAGGCTCTGAAATAATGCGTGAAGTAGGTTGGGTGATATTCGATGAAATCCATTATATGCGTGATTCAGAAAGAGGAGTTGTATGGGAAGAGTCAATTATATTACTACCTCACAATGTGCGGTTTGTTTTTTTGTCCGCTACCATTCCAAATGCCAGGCAATTCGCTGAATGGATCGCTTACTTATACAAACAACCATGCCATGTAGTTTATACTGACTACAGACCTACACCTTTGCAATATTACTTATTTGCTGCAGGTGCGAATGGTATACATATGGTCGTAGATGATAAGGGTGCTTTCCACGAAGATAATTTCAGTACTGCAATGGCTACACTACAAAATGCTAATCCTCGTGTGAAGGATAAGAAAAGAGGACGACAGGGGGGTAATATCAAAGACCCCTCTCAATCTGGAATTTTCAAAGTTGTAAAAATGATAATGGAGAGAGGTTTTGCTCCTGTTATAGTTTTCAGCTTTAGCAAGAAAGATTGTGAATTGTATGCTATGCAACTGACAAAGATGGATTTTAATACACCTGCTGAAAAACGATGTGTACAATTAGTTTTTGATAACGCCATGGATGTGCTATCCGACGAGGATAAAAAATTGCCACAAGTCCAAAACATGCTCCCTCTCTTGCTTAGGGGCATCGGAATTCATCATGGTGGCTTATTGCCTATTTTAAAAGAGAATATAGAAATTCTTTTTGGGGAAGGTTTGATAAAAGCACTTTTTGCTACAGAAACATTTGCCATGGGCTTGAATATGCCTGCTAGAACTGTGTTGTTTACTGGCATCAACAAATTTGATGGAAACCAAAGAAGACTCATATCATCAGCAGAATATATCCAAATGTCAGGAAGAGCCGGAAGAAGAGGTTTGGATGATCAAGGTATAGTAATCCTGATGGTTGATGAGGCTATTTCTCCAGCAAGTCTCAGAGATTTAATGAAAGGCTCTGCGGATCCAATAAATTCTGCCTTTCATTTGACTTACAATATGATTCTAAATCTTATGAGAATTGAGGAAATGAATCCCGAGTTTATGTTGAAAAGATCGTTTTATCAGTTCCAGTACCAGTCACACTTTCCATCTCTTCAAGAAGACTATCAGAAAAAGAAAGATGAATTTGATGCTATTGAGGTCAAAAATTTGGACCTGGTAACAACTTATTATGGCATAAGAAAGGAACTTGATCTCCTGTCAAAGGATTATAAAGCATTTATTAACAAGCCTGAATATTTAATTCCTTTTATGCAACCAGGAAGGCTTGTGAAGATTGTTCATGAAAATGTGCACTATAACTGGGGATTAGTGGTGAATTTCAAAAAACATTTTACTGCCAAAAGCACAATTATTGATGGCAGAATAATAAGTGAACCTAGTACCACCATTCAGCTGCGTGTTCTGCTTATTTTACCTTCTGGAAATGGAGCAACACTTGAGGTATTACCTGTAGAATCCCAAGATATAATTCACCTATCTGAAGCTCGTGTGCACTGTCCAGATGATATAAAACCGTTGCCCGTCAGGAAAGCTTTGATGAGGGCAGTGAAAGAGATAGAAAGACGATTTCCGGAGGGCCCATCAATTTTGGATCCAGTCGAATCTATGGGAATAAAAGAACCTGAGTTTTTGATTATTATCAAGAAAATTAAACTTTTGGAAAGCAAGTTATTTGCTCATCCCCTACATAATAGTAATGGTATGTACGCCGACTATAACAAATACCATAAAAAAATGACTTTGGAAGTGGCTTTACATGAAGCGGCTGAAAAAATAGCTGCCAGCAAGATATTACAAAAACTTGACGAACTCAAAGCTCGAAAACAAGTATTGAAGAGGTTGGGTTATTGTTCGGCTAAGGATGTTATTCAATTGAAAGGCAGAGTTGCATGTGAATTAAGCTGCGGGGATGAATTGGTAATCACCGAAGTATTTTTCAATGGAATTTTCAACAGATTAACTCCCCAGCAAGCTACCGCGTTTCTAAGCTGTTTCGTTTGTGATGAACGCTCAAAGAAAAATCCCAAGATTAGTGAAGAATTATCTGGACCTCTACGAGACTTACAGGAATCTGCGCGACTCATAGCAAAAGCTAGTTTAGAGTCGGGTTTACCAATAGACGAAGACGAATACGTGAATCAATTTAAGCCGCACCTTATGGAAGTAGTACTTTCTTGGTGCAACGGCGCATCTTTTGCAGAAATATGCAACACATCCGAAATATTTGAAGGATCTATTGTGAGGTGTATGAGAAGATTAGAGGAGTTACTAAGGCAATTGGTGCAAGCCTCTAAAACTATTGGTAATGTAAAGATGGAAACCAAGTTCACTGAGGCTATAAAAATTATGAAAAGGGATATCGTGTTCTCTTCTAGTTTGTATTTGTAATATCTTTTTTTTTTTTTTGGTGTGAGGGAGCTGCTATCTTGGTGACTTGACGTGACGTATTTCTCAAACTATAACGTTATAGTGTTAAATTTTCAATTCGTTTCATTTATTTTAGGTTCAAGAAAATCTTGAAAGTTTATTTCTTTTTTGTATAAAGGAACATTAGAATAAGCGGTTTTTGGTTTTATTACATGTTAGAAATTCTGATAAGACATAAATCACAAAGGAAATCACGTTATGATTAGGTATGATACAAGAAAAATTAAGAATCTACAAGATGGAATAGGTACCTAACCGTGAAATCGAACTTCTGAAAATAGTAATTTATTTTATTTGACACTCAATTCTCTTCATCACCTGACAGAGAAGAATAATTCGTCTTGCATAATCTAGCTGTGTCTAGAAGCTATAGGTATAGTATATATAACCTTATGAATTAGAATGTAATAATTGTACGCTTGTATGTTACCGAGTTACCCGAGCTGTAAGTACCTACTCTTTCCTTCACCTAATCTTAAGAGTGCCTCCTCTTCTTCTACTACCTTTCCTTTCCGGTCAACCCATCTTATTTCATCATCCTTCATTACTTGGAGTGGGAGAAGAGGGATGGGTGGTCCTTAAGAATTCGATTCGAATTGTCTGGACCTGGAGCGTGACTTTCGATTTTCAACACTACTATCTCTTCCTCTCCTTTATTTTTATCCCTCTTCTTCATTTTTTATCCTTGCTGACTTGGTTTACAGATGATCATGGAAGCCCTTCGTGCAGAGAATTCCGCAGTTAAAAACCCTCTCATTCGGATTTCGGGAAGGAGAGTGTACGAGGGTTGAGGCGGAGGAGTCTACATCAAGTTTAATAATTGAACCCTGGTTTAAAGGGAGTGTGACCCTAAAAAATGACTTAAATCAAGAAAAAAATTCTAAGATCTCTCGTGAAAATCGCATTCCTATATTCAAAATAGGGTAGAGGACAATTTTTTGAAATATTTTTTTTAATAATCTTCATAACACAATAAATAGTAGTTGATGATTTTTTGATTTCAGAAAACAAAAATATATCTAAAAAAAAATTAACAAAGAAGGAGGCACAATTTACATTGAAAATAATAGGCCCCCGTAAATTTCAACCAAATTTCAATATTTTAAAGGTATCATCATTGTAAGAAAAAATTTGAAATGTAAAGAGGATCGCATGTCTGTGATAGCAGATATAGCTCATTAAAGTACGTAGGTCCTGCTATGCTATGCATGGAGAAATATCCTATTGAATTATTTTGATTGGTATATTCAAGTAATATTATTTTGGTATAGAATTTATTTGATTTCTAAAATCAAAAATAAAATATACCCAAAGTTATACTTATAATAAAATTCAATAAAAATTAATGAGAATGCAGCAATAAAATATATGAATATGGTATAGGTAATAAATATTTATTTTGAAAAAAAATTGTATTAACCACCAACTCAGTCAACTCAGATTTAGCGAATCCTCATCCAGCGTCTTGGAGACTCCAGATCAGTAATATAACAAGCCTTACAAAACACTTTAAGATCTTAAATAAATATGTTTGTCTTACATACACCGTGATTGTCGTAGCCCGTGCACTAGAATTCAATTGGATTGCAGGTGGATCAATAGAGATAGCATCTAATCCACCTGCAAGGTAATGCACGGGCTACGTAAATCATCCTGTATAGCCGATAAAATAAACTCTAAAATCTTCAAATATGTTTTTCATTAAATCCAAACTTCTTCCACACTTCCCCACCTTCTGCCTTCAAATACTCTTCAGCATTATGGAACGCTTGCTCCTTTCCAGTTCCTTTCTTATGTCCTCCTTCCTCAACATTATGTCCACCTTTTTCATTTTTTTCTTTGGCCTCAAATCCGGCCTGAGAAAACACCTTTTTATCGTAACCTCCATGCTTGAAACCACCATTTTTAAAGGTTTTGCCTTCTTCGAACGCACCGTGCAGCTCTTTGTGAGCTTCGTCATGATCTTCATCAAAAATCTGCTTTGTTTTTTCAAATTCCTGAAGCTTGTGAATGTTGTGATGGCCTTTGGTGTCGTGACCTTTCGCGTAGCTGCCTTTATCAGCGTAATGGTGACCTTTTTCTGAGTGGGATTCTTTGTGTCCGGCGGAATGGTAGCCTTTGTCGTCAAAGTGGGACTTCTTGTTGCCACCTAGAATTTTGATTTAAAAGATTTGGTCAAGTGAAAGCGAAAAACCATTTAGCAATAGCCAGGTACATTAGTTTGTGGAGTGCCTAAATTTCAAACAAAATCTTGGAGCAGAGACCTGACTCAACTTATTACTTTTGATTAAAAAATTATATCAATCTTATATCTATGTTTGAGGGATGACTATGCTAATATCAGAATTGAATAATTTAACTATGTCTTAACTGCTGACCCAGAAGAAAAACTATCTGCCCCAATATTCTTATTTGTCACATTTTTTTACCTTCTTCAGCATACTCTTTCTGATGCCTTTCCTTGTCGTGATGTCCTATTTCTCCTTTTTCATTTACGTGTTCAGCTGAATAAGCTTTTTTTCCGGCTTCGCCATGAGCAGCTTTTTGAGCTTCTTCGTAAGATTTTCCACTGCCTAAAAATTGTGGGTAGGTATGTAAAATTGAAAGCAAATAAGTAAATTGAATTGGATAGTTTATCACGTCAATTGAATAGGTAGAGGTGGGTGAATTATATTATATTGTTTATCAAGATAAATGAATTTTAATTATTATTCAACATTATCGCAATAAATATAACTTATGCAAAAATGGAGGACAATAATTATTAATAATATTATTCTTACCATCTTCATGTTGTCTAGCCAATAAATCGGGCACACAAAGCACACTTCCCAAACATGAAATAACAGAACACAAAACCACAGAAACTATCAAATTATTCATATCTCTTACGATTATACTTAATGCATAAATTTATGCAATCCATTTTGATTTATATACGTTTTTCAATAAAAAGACATTGAACTGAATTTATTTAACAAAAAAAACCGTTTTGTGTACGTTTAAATTGAGGATAATTTACACAGATGATTGGGTTTTAAGTTTTTATTGTAGGTAGTTGCGAAATTAATTTGGAATTCATCCTTGATCTTCGAATACCTAAGAAGCACGACAATCAATACATACAACAAAATAAAATAACTTTTACCCCTTATGATATCATCATAACAATCTCTATAGAAGTGAATTACAAACGCACATCACTTTCAACCGATAATAGATAATCTTTGATGATGATGTAAATATTATTTCCAATCCTTGGATTCCATGATCTTATTGCGGCACCTGGATATACTATAATATCATATAGGCCCACGGGATCAGTCAAACATTTTCTGAACCGTCAACCTCGCTTAGCGGGTAGAAAGTACGTTGGAAAATAAGGAAAGTTATGTCGGGAGCTTTCCTTGATATATAAGAGGAAACGTTTGTTTGACAACACTTCCTTTGGGGCAATCATGAGAACTTTACGCTGACGAGGTATTGATGATACATGCTTCGATGATACATCCACTCCACGCTCCTCGGTAAACCAGTGATGGCTCGGGTTGCAAAGGCAATATAAATCGCATGGCGGAGTGTTTTTAACATGCTGTGGAATCTGGTGATGAATGAGCAGATATAGAGCTACTAAAGTGCAAGAACTATCAAGTAGTGGGATATGCAGAGATGATTTGGTCATCATATCCCAGGGAAAATTCAACCATACAGTTAGAGATCGCATGCAGCAGGCTCTAACAATAGTTTCTAGGTGGACAGAGACTATAGGGTTGAAAATTAGTGTCACCAAATCGACAATTGTCCCCTTTACCAAAAAGAAGGAAAATGGATGAACTCATTGGACCTCTTTACCTATCTTATCTTGGGGTAATGATAGACTGAAAATTAATTAAGTAAGATGAAGACAGAGTCTCCATCTATTTTCTGATCGGCACACTAATAACTGCTACTAACAACCGTATAAACCAGTATTAAATTAGAGCAGATCGACTCGCAAAGGCATTCGCCACAATTGCGAGAATAGCTATTCTAGTTGCCAACCAGAAGTTAAGTCGGTTGGTACCGAAAAACATTTGATTTTAATTAGGTAACGGCCCAATTAAGGACCGATTGAGAAGTGTTTTATCTCTGCGGGACCATCCGTGGACGCGTTTCGCTGTATCACAGCTCATCAGCACGGTTAGGTCCCGCAGAGAGAAACACAACCCATTTTTGGTTCCTTCCCGGAACTGGGTTTGAAACAAGTAAGATGAAGACAGAGTCTCCATCTATTTTCTGATCGGCACACTAAAAACTGCTACTAACAACCGTATAAACCAGTATTAAATTAGAGCAGATCGACTCGCAAAGGCATTCGCCACAATTGCGAGAATAGCTATTCTAGTTGCCAACCAGAAGTTAAGGCTGTTTTCTCTCTGCGGGACCTAACCGTGCTGATGAGCTGTGATACAGCGAAACGCGTCCACGGATGGTCCCGCAGAGATAAAACACTTCTCAATCGGTCCTTAATTGGGCCGTTACCTAATTAAAATCAAATGTTTTTCGGTACCAACCGACTTAACTTCTGGTTGGCAACTAGAATAGCTATTCTCGCAATTGTGGCGAATGCCTTTGCGAGTCGATCTGCTCTAATTTAATACTGGTTTATACGGTTGTTAGTAGCAGTTTTTAGTGTGCCGATCAGAAAATAGATGGAGACTCTGTCTTCATCTTACTTGTTTCAAACCCAGTTCCGGGAAGGAACCAAAAATGGGTTGTGTTTTCTCTCTGCGGGACCTAACCGTGCTGATGAGCTGTGATACAGCGAAACGCGTCCACGGATGGTCCCGCAGAGATAAAACAACTCTCAATCGGTCCTTAATTGGGCCGTTACCTAATTAAAATGAAAATTAATTCTTGGAGCGAACATCTGGATGAGGTAATTGAAAGGTCAGAACTGGCACCTATACTAGCCAGGAGAACTTTATTTGGCAAAACATGGGGGCTGCGCGGCTGCGGCCGGAAATGATGCGCTACACATTGATTGTAAAGCCGGCGATAACCGCGTCTTTGATATGGTGGACAAAGACACAACAAGACAGGGCCAGAATGAGATTTGGCAGGGTGCAAAGACTTGCCTTTCTAGGGTGCATGAAAAGCACACCAACGGCATCTATGGAAGTCCTACTAGACCGAGCAAACCAACAGTCAGATCAGGCCACATACAAATAAGGGAAGTCATAAACTAAACAACTTGGCGGACAAAAATAACGTCACATTAATGTGGGTGCCAGGACATAGAGTTATCCCGGCCAAGGTCATCCACAGAATACCTACCTTGGTCTCAGCACAGTAAGAAATAACCACGAATGGATCAAGGCAAAACATGCTCAATACTGGAAGCAAATACCCAAACATGCACACGGCAAAATCTACATACATGAGACATATATGTAGCAGAAGAGCAATAAGACTGCTACAACTAAACAGGAATCAACTCAGAGTAGCAACCAGCTTTCTTACTGGGAGTCAAGAAGCACCTACAAACAAAACAATGGGCTTGTACAACGGAGACACAAGCTGCAAACTATGCGGAACAGATGAGACCGAAACAGACCAACACAGAATGCAAGGCACTAACTCGCAAAAGACATAAATATATTTGGATGAGAAAATGAACTAGATCCAGACACAGACTACAGCAAACATCCAACAGACACAGTCAGAAAGATTAAAAACGCAACCATATAAGACCAACTTCAATAATCAAATAAATAGGTAGCAGCAAAATGAGCTCCTAGAAAAATAGATCTGCTCGACTTGCTCCAAGCAGATATGGATATTCTCTAATCACAGGGAAGTAAATAGTATTGTAATCATTCTAATGAGATTCAGCTCTACGTTCTACTGCCGAGAATGGGGGTCTAGGGCAAGGTTCCTAAAGTAAATAGGTTGTCTGGTAATGGGTAACTTCATGACGCATCTGGGATACCTTATGGAGATTTGCATTATGTTTAGGTATACATATGACGTCAAAAAAATTATCAGGCAACCTACTTCTCCTAAACAACCTTGGGTCTACGGTCCTGTTATCTGCTTTTTACCTTTTTTGCTTTTCGAATTATACTGCACTGGCTGTCACTCTCAACAGTGATAAAAAAGGCAATGGATAGAGGTCCGAAAATTCGGATCTCTAGTGTTCATACTAAAGATAATTTTCGGATTTTCAATTTGTATATTAGGGGTCCGAAAATGCGGATCTTTAGTGGTAATATTGAAGATCCGAAAATAGATGTTTATTTCTAATTCTGTCTAATTAAGGAGTATCGTCGCAAGTATCTACAAAGAATAATATTCGAGATAAGTCTGTTTCTGCAAGAATCACAAACCAGTCAGAGTGAATTTCATTGGTTGATACTAGTTTTTTGACTGTTTCTGACTGTTTTCAATCAATGAAATTTGCTCTGACTAATTTGGGATTTCTGCAGAAACAGACTTATCTTGAATATTAATTACCTATTCTTTGTAGATATTTGCGACACCATTTCAATAAAACTAGCCCAAGAAGAACCAAATACTACTGCACAAAACCAATTAGAAGAAAAAATAAAAAGTATTAAATTTCCTTTGAAACCCATAAAGGAAGACCCAAAGGACATCAATTCACTGCAATTGGACTGAAAAGGTCTAAGAAAAATAAAAGTGTTTTATTCAAAAATGAAGTTCTTAAACTGAGGCACCAGATAATGCATAATGCAATTTTAAATACAGATGATTTGGTAAGCAAAGCATTACATAAAAACTTTAAAAATGAGAAATAAAACATTCCTCATCATCATCAACAAATTGATCCACTTCTTCTTGAAAAAGAAATATCTTTAGCAGAAATAGAAACATATTTTTGTCTGGATTCTTATGTTTTATTACAAAAACGAATTGGAGAAAAACAAAATAGTATTCTAAAATGGATTTGTGATATATATAACAAAGTTATACATGAAGATTGCTTACGGTGTAATTCATGTCTTCGGTGTAAACATAAAGTGTGTTGTTTAGTAACAAAGCTGCCTTTAGTAAGAAAGCCTGGTTTTGCATGCAGTGCAGAAGGAACTAAATCACACCTCACACCTCTTACCCTATCAACCCTTAAAATGAAGAAATATTTATTTTTAATTATGTACAGCTGTATGCAACATCCTCTTTTAACTTAAAAGCGCGTTTTAAAACTGGTCACTTTTAAAAATGTGTATTCTAAACCATACAAACTTTTAAAGGTACCAGTTTTAAAAAGCGTTTTTAAGTTAAAAGAGGATGTTGCATACAGCTGGTAATGTTTTAAAAAAATAAAAAGGTACTTAGTTTTGTTTTTTGTACTTTTCTGTTTGAAATTGCGCCAACCAAATATTTTCGAGTAAACTTGATTAGTTATTCTACATAAAAAGGATTAGAGGACCCATTTTTTTTTAGTATAAATCCTTAAAAATACAAGCATTTTATCAATTTTATTGAAATGGTATAATATTCCTCAATTACGACAGAATTAGAAATAAACATCTATTTTCGGATCTTCAATAATACCAATGAAGATCTGCATTTTCGAACCCCTAATATACAAATTGAAAATCCGAGAATTATCGGAACTTTAGTATGAACACTAGAGATCCGAATTTTCGGACCTCTATCCACTGCCGATAAAAAAATTGTAGCGAGCAGCACCGAGACGACAAATTGAAAACGCCGTAAAACGAAAGCTCTCTTCTTGCTTCCTGTCATTGTCATGTCATGTCTCATCATCGATCATCTGTCATAATAATCGTAATGGGGAAAAAAACATGACATCACATTTTTACACTTTTTTATAATTTCTTTTTTTCAATTTCCCTTTTATTTTACACCAAATTAAA